AAAACAGCAACAACATCAATCCACTGACGAAGAACAAATTAAAATATACCAAGCAAGAAAAACTTGTGTTTCCCAGTCTAGCCTGTTGGGGCACCATGCCCTGTCTCCAATGTCCACCCTCATCATTCCCTGGGGAGAGCATATTGTTCTTGTTGCTGATGTTTCTGTAAGGCTTAGAGGGTCAACTCAAGCCATGCAGGACAGCACTTGAGAGAACACTTAGTGCCTGAACACAGGGACCCAGAGAATGCCGTGCTGACTGGCCCAAGGCATCCAAGTGGAGAGCAAGGGACGTGGTCTCTCTCTTTTTCCTTTAAGATGTGAAGGAATCACTGTCTCTCTATCCACCTCTATATCATACTTCTCGTAGGGCATATTCCAGGAAATGTGAAATGACAGTTTCACCTACGTCATAGCACTGTTATGACCTCAGCTTTCGTCAGCAACAGGAAAGTCAATTTTCCCCTTTAGCTGTCATATCCATGAAATCAGGTAAGGTTTTCTCATTCGTTCCACAATTACTGAGCACCTTCCAGGAGCCAGATGCAGTCAGAGGTGATGTTGTATCTTTAAAACTAACTTCATTATAGAAGTGTTTGTAATAGCTAACTTTCACTGAAAGCCACCTTCCAGAATTTAGTCTCAGCAGTGTTCGTGCATTAACCCATTTAATTCATATACCCACCCTGTCACATTGGTACTATCGTCATCACCTTTCACAGACAAACAAGCTGAGGTCAAATCATTTGTACACACAGTGGCTCTGTAGTCTGAATCCAGAGCCTGAACTCTCAAAGACTATTTGTGGTATTGTTGAATAAAAGGCGGGTAGTTAGAACCCACCAGCAGCTGCATGGGAGAAAGATGAGCCCATCTGTCCTCAGAAGTCTTTTATAGAGTTGCTGTGAGTTTGTCCCACCACTGCTCTGTCTGTTTGTCCTTGGAGAAGGATATTGTCCTTGGTGAAGTAGCAGAGGAGGAAAAAGGGGGAAGACCTTTGACAAGATGGATCAACACAGTGGCTACAATCAAGGTCAAACATGAGAACAACTGTCATGATGGCACAGGTTGGGGCAGTGTTTCTTTCTCTTGTACAAAGGGTCCCTATGAATGGAAACCGAGTCAAGGGCACCTAACAACAAGAGTCAGTATCAACTTGTTGGCATAATGGTTTACTATGGACTGAAAATGTTACCGCCTAATGAAGTTTGATCTATAGTAGAGTTTCCAAGTGGTTTTATGTATTATATAATAACTTTCTGCAAGAATGGAAATATCATTCACTGTGTCGTCCAGTACAATAGCCACTAGCTATATAGTGTGTGGTACTTCAGCATTTGAAATGTAGCTAGTGATTGGAATAACATTTTACATGGGACTGCATAGAGTTGCATGTGAATGTCAACTATTGAATAAGGAAGTCTGAAGAAGAATCAATTCATTTGAATCGTGGTGCTGGAGCCCTGATGATGTAGTGGTTACCTGTTGGGCTGTGATTCACAAAAGCAGTAGTTCAAAACCATCAGCAGATTCACAGGAGAAAATCTGAGTTTTCTACTTGTGTAACCAGTTACAGTCTTGACTCATTAGCAGGGACTTTTTTATGCCTTAACTATTGAATTGTATGATTTGTGGAGGAAGTGCCAGTAAAACTGTTTGTTTTTTTAAGAAAACAACAGAATATTGAAAGTACCACGGACTGCTGAAAGGACACATATGTCTTGGAAGAAGGGCAGCCAGAGTGTTCCTTAGAAGCAAGGGTGGCAAGACTTCATCTTACTTACCTTGGACACGTTGTCAGGAGAGACCACTCCCTGGAGAAGAACACCATGCGTGGAAAAGTAGAGGGGCAGCGTAAGAGAGCAAAGCCCTCAAGGAGATGGACGGACAGTGGCTGCAATGAGGGGCTCAAGCACAGGAAGAATTGTGAGGATGGGGCAGGGGCAGGCAGTGTTTCGTTCGGTTGTGCATACGGTCGCTATGGCTTGGAACTGGCTCCACGGTCTCTAACAAGAACCACATAGCACTGTTCTAAGCCAGAACTGACTTGTTGGCTGGTATAACATTTTCATTTGCATTAACTATTAATAGTCACATGCTGTCCAGGCTTATTGTATTGCATTGTACAAATCTAGAGGATAAAACAAACAGTGCTGCTGACTCCGACTCAGTGATCCTATTGGGCAGAGTAGAGCTGCTACATATGGTTTCCAAGGCTGTACGTCTTTGTAGAAACAGTCACATTTTCTCCCTCAGAATGGGTGGCCACCCTTTTGTTGAGTGCTTTATGTGTCGATTTTGATTCCTCTGTAATGGCAAATCGATTGTTCAAATAAAAGACCAAACTCACTCACATCGAACCAATTCTGACTCATGAGGACCCTACAGGGCTGGGTAGAACTGCCCCCGTGGGATTCTGAGACTGTGACTCTTTACCAGAGCAGAAAGGCCTTTGTCTTTCTCCCAAGGAGCAGCTAGTGGTTTCAAACTGCTCACTTTGTATGTAGCAGCCCAGTGGGTGACCCCCTACACCACCAGCGGTCCTCGACAATTGCTCTGCACAAGAAAGCGAGTAAGTGAAGACTTTTAAAGAACACAGCGTTCTCCTTCTAAGCCGGAGGGCATTCACGCTAACAAGGAGCCCTGGTGGCTTAGTAAATCTTAAGGTCATCAGTTCAAACCCACAAGTTGGAGAAAGAACAAGGATGCCTGATTTGATAAAGATTTACACTCTTGGAAATGTGAGAGAGAAGTTCTTCTCTATTCTACAGGGTTGCTGTGACTGGGAACTGACTTAACAGCCACGGGTTTGGTTTTCACTCCACTGAGACGTTATAATAAGTCAATGACAAAGTATGCCATCCTGGTGGGGTTCATGAACATAGTAAAGGGGATCCTTAAATTACTTACAGTGTGGACGACTGACTAACATTTTGTGATTATTAGTCACTGCTTAAGAAATACATACTAATTTTGTCTGATAACGAATACTACTTTGGTTTTCTTTTTTGACAGAATGTGGAGTCTGCAGAGCAAGACAAGAGTGAGGTCTAGGTGGGAAAAGTACGGCACATAGTGACGCAAGGCTGCTTAGTCGTCATTTCCTACAGAAACTCGTTCTAACCCAGACCTCTAAGCTTTTCATTAAACAGAGAGCAATGACCTGATTTTCCTCATCAGTAACTTCACCCTTTCTTTTATACATCATGTCACTACATCGATATCCCGATGAGGGATGCTGAATTTGGGTAAAATGTAAGTAATAATAGATCTCTCAAAGCCAGATTTGCTGCTACTGAAAGGCGACTTCACCATCAGTTTCGCTTTTATTTTCATTAAAGTGAGATCGGATTCCTCAGCCTCCAAATTGCTGGAGAGAACTCATCTAAAAAAGTTTAAGCTTTTAAAAAAAAATAACCACAAGTTTGATTGCTATAGAACACGCCTTTTCCATTGTCAGGTTTTTATTAACTTTACATTTCAAAACCATACAAGGGCACATCCAAGAGGTGTGAGGGCATCACAGTCTCTCCGGGAGTCTCAAAGCCATGCCCTTTTGATAGAATGGCATCAGCTCTTTATATTTCCCCCCTCGAAAACAAGCTAGGAATCACATGACGCCTAAAGAAAAATGTGTGTGTGTGTGTGTGGGGGAACCCTATGCTTCACAGCCCAGACCCCCAAATCTAAAACCCAAGCCCGATTTAATGGGCTCGGTACAGAACAGGAAGATGATACCATATTTTGCAAGATGGTATATTTTGTACGACCACCGGCCACGGAACCCCTAAAGCCACCACTGTGGTATGTGTCGCTGTAGGTCCCAGGAGAAGCTGTTAGTTTTGTTGGAGTTGAAACTGTACCAAACCCGAGAGCAGGCCACTGGCGAGGTGCCAGTGTATATGGCTTCCGACACACTGGTGTCATCAGTGTGTCACCAGCTGCAGGCCCTGCCTTGAGACATTTCTGGAATAGGGGTCAATCCTAAGTCCAGATGCTCCTAGTGTTGATCATGGGGCCTTAGAGGGAAGAGCATCCAAGCAGGGATGGTCCTGCAGCTGTTGCAACCCCTCCCAGCCAACAGTCAGCCAAGAGTCAGCCCGGAGGGCCAAGCTGCGACGCCCTACAACCATAACGATTGCAGTTGGGCAGCCTCCAGCATTGTGAACTTGGGAACTGAGTGGAGAAGGGGGGTAGGGGGTGGAGATGGTGGGCCCCTTTGCTAAGCCCAAAGCCCAGCCGGAAGGGAACTACAGCTGGAGCGATACAGTTATTGCGGCCAGGGGTCCCCGAGCTGGAAAGGAACGTCAAGGAGCTTTCAAAGCTCCTCTGCTCTCTACGCCGCAGCTCCCACCGAGAGTAGAGGGCCGACGGTGGGCAAGGCGCCCGGGGCCAGGTAAGCCGACCCTCCGGGATCCGCAGCCCGGGGCCCGGCCGCGGGGGC